GGTAAAGGAACACGAATGTGGTAAGGCCATCTGACAATCCCAATGGTGACCAGTTCTGCCAACATGGTCTCTGCCTCTCAGAGGATAACGTGAACTTGTAGGGACTTTCCTAAATGTTGACGCTCAGAAGATAATAGACATCAAACAAGCTGCCAAAATGTAATGCTTAATCCCCAGGAAACCCTTACTAAGTCTCCAGCTATCTTCATTTCATTTCCTGTTTCTTCCAGAGAAATAGTAGAATTTGGTGAGTTTTCTTAACTTTGAGGGGAGAGAGATTAGAACAATGAAAAGAAGGAGGGAAACAGAATCAGGTTGTAGCTGATTGCAGTCTGATTGATGTTTGGCAAATTGCATCTGAGCAAAAAAGTATTGTGTTTCATTTTCCCTTTAAATCATATCCACTTGAAATTCAGAATTATCTGCAGTGTTAGAATCAAATCTTGAGCCTGTGCCTTTGAGAGTCTTAGGGAAAAAGGAAATTGATGAAATTGATGCTTAGCTTCTCTGTTGGGACACTGACCACACTTCCCAAGGATGCTCCATTTGCTTCTCCGGTTTTGCCTTCCTGCAGAGATGGAGTATAATATGATGATGGGAAGCTCAGGTGGGGGAAGTGAAAATTTCAAATCAAGTCCCCAGTCCTTAAAGTTTTGACAGCAAATAATGGCTCTACAAAACTGTCATTCTCTTCTGCCCAGCTCTTTCTCTAGACTCTTGAGTTTGGGTGATGAGAAAGAGTAATCCTCATGGTCTTTAAGTTCTGTTTCACATGATTACAACACACTCCTGAGACTCAGATCTGGATCCAGAGTCGGGAGAAATTACAAAACAAAAATGAACAAGCCAAAGCAATCCCCAGCTTTTCTGACCTGCATCCACCACACACAGCACCAAAGGGATCCCCCAACAGCAACCAATTTTTTACTCAACCCTCAGGTCCTTAGAAAGCTTTTCATGAGGCTCAGGGAATTTGAAAGCAGATTTTTTATTATTGTGAGACTCACTGTGAGTGATGGGCAGAAATTAGGTTTCTAATCAAAAAACAGCATTTGCAACCCAAGAGAAGGGAACCAGAGAATAAGAACAAGACCTGTTGCTCAGCCCTCCTCTCCTTGGCATAGCATTCATTGTAATAAATGCCAATATCCAGTGCCCCATCCCTATACCAAACTATTGTGTTCTTCTTGGAAAGCCCTCTCAATAAGTTAAGTTTTCCATCTTGAAGGCAGATAACGGTCATCTAGCTGACAACCTTCCCTGCCTTGTCTCAACTCTGTCCCTGAATCTTTTGGATGGGGACTTGGAGCTCAGTTTCCCATCAGCAGTTTGACTATTATTAGCTTCAAAGGGAACCAAGACTCTACTCAACCCCTGGCCTCATCAAGGGCATCTTTGTAGTTCTATGAGCTGCCAGGTCTCTAGGTTGAGACACAAGACTGGGGAGGCAGGGCGCAGATGTTTCAGTCCAGGYCCCAGGACCAGCCCCAGGCTGGTTACCCGTAAGGCAGTGTCACAATGTGCTCCTGGGACACCCGACAGATGTTTTTTGGAACTGGCACCGAACTCTTCGTGGAACCCCGTGAGTTGATTTTTTCCCCTATATTTCTATGAATAATTTGAGCCCTGGGACCTGGGGCTGCTATCCAGTTTATGTTATAAATTATAACAAGTAGATTAACTTGTCACTAGGAGATGGTATGGTACAGAGGTGAAGTGGGCCAGAGTGAAGACACTGAGCCACTGAAGAAACTCTGTAGCTATTTTCATTTTAAATATATATATATATATACTAAAACACAGTCCCCACTTACCACTGAAATTTTCAGTGTGACCCAGAAAATAAATCTGAGAAAAAAAWTTTTTTTACTAATAGTTGGAGCATTCAGGTGCAGGGGAGATAGTGACAGGAACACTTTGGCACAAATTCTCCAGGAAGTTGCTTAATCCTAAACATATCCCTGACTAATATGCATGCCTCCTTGCAAATCACAAATGTTCTTCAGCTTGTGAGATCTTGGAGAAAGGTGGTTAGCTTGTTAGAGTAATCAGGTACAGCAAACTTTCAGAATTTAAGTGAAATTTCATATTGGCAGACAGTCTTGAAATTCTGAGTGATATTGATTACAGATGTTGTGATTCTTAGAGGACCAGGAAGATTCTTAATGAGAATCTAAAATAGAAGATATCTAATATCATAAATTAAGAAAAATTGTTCAGGAAGGGTATATACTTCTTCCGTATTATTTGCCAACACATAATCTTAGCATTGTATTATTACTCATAAAAAAAAGAAGTACAAAAAYAAAATAACAATTGTCCAAATTGACTCTAAACACATAGTGAAATTTAGTTATATTCATGGAACAAGAAGAGACACTAGTCTCAGAAGATAAACAATTAAACCTTTTGTTCAAATCTTACATAAGAATAAATCTTGTCTTTAATTTTATATGACTTCAAATTTTTGTGTAAGTCAAATATAAAGGCAACAAGGATACATATGGCAAYTACATTGAGTGCATTGTATTTATATTTTAAAAAGAAAGGTTCAGTTCATTCAGAGAGCCTTTTCTTTGGTTACCATGATACCAAGTAATGGAWCAAATAAAACACTTTTCTCTCAATTATTTTGAACATATAGACATTAAGTTAGAAAGAGAATCTGAAGAAAAAAATCCTTTAAAAACTCAGTGCATTATGTTCTTTCTGAAATGCTGAGTAATAGATTCAGAGCTCAGTATCATGAGTGCATGAACTTCAGAAATCTATCTTGTCAGCTATATYACATGGTTCACATTAATTAAAGCCAGGTGTGACAGTGCATGCCTGTAATGCCAGGGACTCAGTGGGGCAGAGGCAGGAGGATCACAAGTTCAAGCCAGCCTTGACAACTTAGTAAGACCCTGTCTCAAAATAAAAATATAAAAGCGACTGGGAACGTAGCTCAGTAGTAGAGAGTCTCTGGTCTTAAAACCCAGTACTGAAAAAAAAATTTATTTGAAATCAATTTCCCCAACCCAAAGTGATCATTGGCAACTGCCTGATTAATTTAGACTTTTAAATCCTAAGCAAGCCTTTATTGTCCAAATAAATCAGACTAGGATTGGGTCATCCTTTAAATAACCAAGAAGACAGTGTTGGAATGTTGTTGCTCTTTGGGGGGTTGGTTGGTTGTTGTTTGGGTTTTCTTTTTTATGGGCAAATATCCTTTCTAACTCATAATTCCCTTGAAAAACCAACCATTCTACATCTCAAACTCAAGGCAGGATAGTGAACAAGAAATACTACAGTTGCAAAGGGAGGTGAGTGGTGAGGCCTGTGGTTTCCAACCGTTAGCACTAGGGTTATCCGTTTCTGCTATCAGGGTTTCAGCTATGCAAGAAAACAGAACAGTGAAGGTTTTCTCATACAGGTTGAAAGCCAGTTCCAGGAAAGCCCTTTGAAAAAAATCCCAATCTCCCCTTTTGTCTAGAGCTAAAGCCAAAAAAGAATGAGTTTCCAGCCCTGAGTGACTGGAACAGAATACAGTCTTTTGGCTGAGCTTCTTGGCAGAGAAAAAAMATGGAGAATTTTGATAGCAGTGATGAGGGGGTTTCCTCTGAACAGCTTATTCCCTAGAAAAGCCCTGAACAGCCAAGTTTATCTCAGCAGGAACCTTCTGACCAGCAATCACTCCCTCTCAACCAGTTGCAATCAGGAGATCTGTTCTAGTTCCACAGTCAGGAGCCACACAGCAGAAGCTCAAATCCAGATTCTGGGCAAAGCACTAGAAAAATCTTTCTTTCTCTGTCTACACATTCACCATCAAGACTTTCCTTCTAGTAATACCTAATTTCTTGCTTGTAGATCACAGAAAAGAAAAAGCACACTAGAATTCAACATGTTTTTCATTGGATATCAAGAAGTCAAACACTCCAAAATTATCAACACTAAGCCATATTCATAAGAGCAATTAACGTTGAAAATCAGAAATGAAGCTTAGGATTGAAAATACATCCATATTTCCATGCTCAGGTTGATTTTCTTTCCTAACTCCAGGTACTAGCAAGTCTCCTTCTTTAAGAGATGGTATGAGATAGCCTACGAGTTTCCAAGTTTCCATGGACACAAAATTTATCACAATTCAGAAACTTCAATAAGGCACAGTGTGAAAAAAAATCATTACTACATTTCTCAAAGCTTCAAGACTTTCAGTTTTAAGGAAAGAAAAAGATGCATACACAGAGTAGCAGATAGATGATAGTTCAAGGTAAGGCATGAAAGAAGACAAGGCCAGTAGGGGACCCAATTACTGGGACCAACATTCCACAGCTCCTCCTAGAATAAAACAAGAAGAAACGGGCTTAAGCTAGTTTTATGCCTGTAAGTACTTTCTGAGAATAATAGTTGCTATTCTCTGATTAAAGACTTAAAAGGGATTTCAGAGTAGTCAGATCCTTCCAAAAAAATAAATATACAATACTGAAGGCAAAGAGATATACCACTCAACTTCAGCAGATCCCTTCCAGTCCATAAAATGGGGATGACTCCCTGCAGTGACTCCAACACTTCTATTCTCAGAGTGTCTAAACCCATCATACAGACCTTCTCAGACTCTTGATTCTTCAAGTGACACAATGCATAGCATAAAAAAACCTAACCCAATCTCCCTCCAAGGGTCCATGCATTTAAAATAAACCTACTGAGGTAGGCACATATGTAGCCTGAACTCAACTGTCCAGAGGATCRATTAAAAAGTCAACCCAGATGATCCAGAAACTTCTTTGTAGTTGTTATTTTCTCTCTCTGCTTCTAGTCCTATCTCTTAGCAGCTCCTAAATAGAAGTCAAATTAACTACCTTTCATTTCTTTTCTCTAAAAATCCCAGACCATTAGCAGGATGCAGGGAGCTCTGGATTGTAGTGTTGGGCCTCAGGAGAACTGAAGTAACCATCACTGTTTAACTTCTRTAAAGTTGTAATTCATCATCTCATGCAATAATTTGATGATGCTTGCAGAAACTCAGCCTCCTAYCAAACCATCCGTTTTCATCATGAAAAATGGAACAAATGTTGCTTGTCTGGTGAAGGATTTCTATCCCAAGAATGTAAATATAAATCTCAAATCATCTAAGAAGATAGTAGAATTTGACCCTGCTATAGTCGTCTCCCCCAGYGGGAAGTACAGTGCTGTCAAGCTTGGTCGGTATGAAGATCCAAATTCAGTGAGGTGTTCAGTTCAACACAACGGTGAAATGGTGTACTCCACTGAGTTTGAATTGAACACAACTTCAGTTGGTAGGTATCTGGCTTCAAGGGACTGGAGATTGTAGGGAAGGGAAGTTGGGGGGGGAAGAGAAGTTAGAGATTGAACACTGGACATACCATCTTCAACTTAGCATTGTGCTGGGGAAAAAAAAAAAAAAACTTAGAGTGCTCATCATTGAGTGGGAAGGAAATGCTTGCATCCCTACGTGGGATCTAAGATAAAGTCTCATCTCACCCCATCTCTGCACTTCAACCATTTGCTCCASCACTAAATAGGGCAGCCCAACCTGTCATGGGATTAAGAATTCTAGCCTGTTAGAATATGCCAGGATGTTGGCCTTCTGGTGCCAAAAAGCCCAGAACAGGAAGTAGGCTGGCTGGGTAAACAGCCGTAGGACCTTAACTAAGTTATACTCCCTGGTCCTCAGCTGCTTAAGTGTCAGCTGCTTTTAAAACACAAAAATCCTTTGAGGGGCTGGGGCTGGGGCTCAGTGGTAGAGGGCTTGCCTTGCCTCGCACATGTGAGGCACTGGGTTCGATCCTCAGCACCATAGAAAAATAAATAAAGATATTGTGTTCGTCTACAACTAAAAAAAAAAWTTTTCTTTTAGTTTAAAAAAAATCCTTTGAGTCTCTCAGTTGCCAATGTAACCTTGACCACTGCTGTTTGTTCCAGATAATCAAATTGAAGTGAGTCCTAAAAACAATTCTGAAACTTCAGAGAGCTGCCATAAACCAAGAGGTAAGTTCAAGTCAAAGCATCATTTTCAGAACTGAGGGTGGAAGTAAACTCTGTAGTCCTCAACTGGGACCAAAAAGCATCAGATCACCAAAGAAAATAAAAATCTGTCAAAAGAAGGGAAAGCCAGTTGGTTGACTTCCCCAGCACAGCTCGCCTGGCTGCCAGTATGGGTTTCTAAAACTTGCCTGTCTGGGTGGGAGCAGCAGCCTGAGGTCCCTGGTGCTCTCCTGCTCCAAGCAGAGCTTGCAGGACAGAAAGAACTATGGTGATTTGGGGCAGGCTGGCATCCGTGTTGTAGACCCAATTTCTAGGAGGGACTTTAATCTGTTGTAAARCCACCATCTTCACTCTTGTTCCACGACAGTGCTTGCTGAGAAGGTGAACACGATGTCCCTCACAGTGCTGGGACTACGAATGCTGTTTGCTAAGAGCATTGCCATCAATTTTCTCTTGACTGCCAAGTTATTTTTCTTCTAAGGTAAGAATTAGCTGCTTCTTATTCCCACCTCCACCCAAGTTATACTGTACGTAGGAGAAAGAGCTTTAGACATGGTAAGAAACCAAGAAGCCCTGGGAAGGGAATAACACATAGAGACGTACTTAGAATTAACAAGGCCRGCCATCTCAGTCACTCAGTATAACATCCCTTCTCCTGTTATCCTTTTATTTTAATCYAGACTCAAAACCTGTTATATATTATAAGGTATTTTTTTCCTAATATGCCAGCCAATAACTACCACTTCCACTCCTAGGAGAAAATCAAGACTAAATAAGGAGAATTAGTCTTTTTAACATTATTTTGTTTATTCAGCCAAGGGATCATGGGTCATTTGCAAGGCCATTAGTAGAGCTCCTTCACCTAAAGAACGTTCAGGGGTGAACATGCACCCCCATTAGTAGTGAAAAGTCACTGTTAGCTACCCAGCATTCACACAAAGTCAAGGCTGTGACATTAATTATTTGCCTCTTACTTGCATCCATTTTCAGGCAATCTAGTACATGTTCAAACCTGGGACTAGGCTTGAAGCTCCCATCTCTCATTCTTCTTCCAATAACCCAAATATTCACCAGTCCCAGCTCCTATTCTAGGAACAACCCTAGACCTAGAGTGTTGGGCTGTTCTGCCCCARACAGTAAACATACCCAGTTATTATCAAATGGGTGTGCAGCCCCACCTGCCACTTTACTAACAGTCCCAGGACCACAGGYAGCAAGGGTATATAAGTAGTGCTATTCTAGGAGTCAGAAGACCTGAGTTTTAGTCCTACCTTTGTCACTAACCCACTGCATTACGTTAGCTGGGTTCCTTCCCCTCTGTGGACCCAGGTTTTAAGAATGACTGCAAGATAGCAAATGGGTTTCATGACTATACTGAGTAGCTGGACTATTGCTGTGTATAGAAAAGTTATGTGACATGCAATCTATTAGCAATGTCTGCAGTGATACAGCAAATACCCTCCATCCCCAGGTAATCAGTCCTACAACACCTTCCAGACTCACCGACTGTGGTTCTGTAACAACTTTCCTTCACTTGCAGGCTGACTGGCACGAGGAAGTTGCGCTCCCAGGAGGAAACCAAAAGCTTGCGAGGACACTGTCTCCTAGGCTTCARCCTTATTTAAACAGCTGCTAATCAAACCAATTTCCCGTTAAGGGCAACAACCCCCTTCATTCTTAGCCTGGTAGAAAACAAAAGTCCTGGGAATGGGAGTTTATGGTCCTAACTATTTTAYATGCTGCTTTATACAGTGACTGAAAGATATAAAAAAATATATAGGACCTATTTTATTTTACTCCTACACCTGATACACTTTGAAAATGATCTTTCATTCCATTTTTACTTTCTTTAATTCAACAAATAGAAAGAGGGGAGCAACAGGTCACCAAGTCCATTCCCCATGAGGAAAATAGGCCAGGAGGAGGAAAACTGGTGTCCCTTTACCTGCACAGGGAAGGCTCTGCTCAGCCCAGCACTAGATTTGTCCCAAACYAGCATCCTTGTGTTCCTCTCCTGTGGTTTACCCCACCCTCTATATTCACACTAGATATTTGACATGGCAGTAAGRGGTGGAGGGCCAATTTCAGCACTTTCTGCTTTTCCTGGTACTTTACAAATGAAATTACATTTGACTTCCCTAATACTCTCTAAGCAGGCAATGGGGTTTTAAATTCTCATCTAAATACTCTCCATTCTATTAGCAAAGATCAGAGTAAAATACAAAGGAAAGGCACTTCTTTCTGTTAACTGATTTAACATACATGGACTGACTCCCTCTAAGTCTCAAGCACTGTACTGAGAGAAGATGAATAAGATATGGGCCCTGCTTTCAAGCAATTCATTATGCAAGTGTGTTTGGAGTGAGGGATAGGAGTGAGACCTCTATTTTCCCTGTTTAACRATATAGATATAGATAGATAGATAGATAGATAGATAGATAGATAGATAGATAGATAKAATCTTCTGCCTGTCAATCTATACCCAGGGAGTTTGAGATCATCGGACACTGATTCTTTTGCATGGGCCTTTAATGTTGCTGGTTTTCTACCTTTCTTCTTAGCCCTCATCCCAGTTGCATTTATTAAACAGCATCATGTGCCACCTCGCCTCTGGCTTTATTCATTGCAGACCTCTGTGGGGGGAAAGTCAGATCTGTAAACTCACTATTAGTCAGCCAAAAGCCAAACTGCACTTACAGGTCACACCACAGCTTCCTGGGCCCCAAGCCCAARGCTGATGCCTGGGGAATTCAGCCCTGAGTTTCCTGCTGCTGCAGCAGCTGCTGTTAGAGCAATAACAATAGCTGAGCCCTCAGTGGCATTGAGCCCTGCAACTCCCACCTCAGCAGGTCACAGCTTTGTCCACATGCACAAGCTCAGGTAGCAGAGCCCTAGCAACACAGTACTGTGGTTCCCTCCTCTCATATGTGTGTGTGTGGAGTGCCAAGCAAGCAGTATGCCTCTCCAAGAGAGTTAACTTCACCAATAACTGCCCCTGCCACCACCAACTACAGACTCCCACATGAAGTCTTCACAACCCAAAGGAAAGGAGGCCTAGCACACTAAGAAACAATAGGCTCAGGATACCTAGATGGATACACCAGGTCCAGGGAAAAACAAAAGATTCCATGCAACTTCCCCCTGTATTAATAAAGAATGCCTGTTTCCAAAGCATTCACTCTTGTTACCTTGTATAACATGAGAATATTTCTCTGAAGTTGCTAGGAATGAAAAATGTATCCTCATTTTACAGATGAAAAAAAATGTCCCCTCAAAGAAGTCATTCAGTGAAGCAGGGATACAGCTGGGAGCACAACCAAGACCTCAAGACTGTTAGTCCAAAATTTCTGCACATTGTATCCCAAAATGAGAAAGAAATCATTCTGAATATCAGTTACACTGCACTTTAGGACAGTCCTATAGTCTCCATCCTTTAGCCTATGCACCAGAAAAAATAAAAATAAAAATAAATTAAAAATAAAAGATAGTACATCATAGGACCATGGAATTTTTTCCGCTTGAAGGAGCCTCAAGTAAAGATTTAAGGTCAGGCATTATGGTGCATGCCTGTAATCCCAGCAACTTAAGAGACTGAGACAGGAGAATCACAAGTTTGAGGCTAGCCTTGGCAACTTAGCAAGATCCTGTCTCAAAATTAAAAAGAAATAAAAAAGACTGGGGAATATAGCTCAGTGGTAAAGTGCCACTAAGTTCAATCCCAGTATCATAAAGAAAAAAGAAGAGATTTAAGGAAAGAGCCAAGGAACATTTGTTTGCCTTCAGATCTGGGGCCACTATGTATGCTGGTCAAGTGATGCACTCAGTAGGCAGCAGAAAAGAAGCCCCAGGAGATGAACTACTTGCCCAAGGCCTGTGGCTCCCTCACCCCATGCTCTTTCCATTGTTCCATATAGTGGTTACTCTCCGCCCACTATCTTCTAAGAGCCAGATAAACTGCTGCCTAAACTGCCCACTGCTAAAGCCTCCTGGGGTGCACCGCAGGAGACAGCCCTAGACAGGCACCACAGCATCCCTGCCTGTTAGTAACCAGCTATAAGGCACTGGGAATATTTGTCCCCCACCTCTCTAGACTTAGTGTATTTCCTGTAGAACAATGTCTGAGGTCTCTTCCATGTCTAGGATTATCTCTACTAACTCCAACAGTTCTTTTATGACAGAGAAGCCAATAGAAGTAGAGGGAGGAGGGACTGAGCCCCAGAGACTGAGGATATATCTATTTCAACACCAACAATTCAGTTTTCCCTGGAGAACATGATCTCTCATGGGCACAGCACTGAGCTCCAAACTCAAGGCCTTGGAAACTGGAATTCTGGGATTTGGAGATAACTGTGTAGGAGAATCTGATGATCTTTATGAAAGAAAAAACATGTTCTCCAAATATGGTAAGTAAAATGAAGGTATCAGAAAATATCAAGGAGAAATACGGTGACTAGACATAACAAGATGCAGAAAGAAGGGAAATCAAGAAAAAGTTTTTAAAGTAAATGAATTTTTGGTCCAGTTTGATTCTTAAAGTAAAAACAGACCAATTCGTAATAATAAATCTAATGATGGAGGTTAAAACAAAGTACTGCTGATGACCTCTCCTTAGACTGACTCTTCACCTGTGCCTTTCTGATCCTCCTCACAGCAAACACAGCACAGACTTGGGGACCCAAAGATAATGCTCCCTCAAGCCTGCAGCTCTCCCTTGCCAACACAARTCACTCAGATGACAAAAGCCCACTGAAAAGAAGTGGAAGAAGCTCTGTTCCTCACAGGCCAGGGTGTTTCTGTGGACGTGATCAGGTTTTTTAACTGGTCAGTAGTCACTTTAGGACACCTCTAAAGACAAGGCTGGAACACAAAATGACCAGGAGAAGGATGCTAGCTCTAGGTCGTGCCCCCCACCCYAAGAGGTAGCTCTGCAGAGCTGTTCCCCAGAGGTTTGTGTGCAGACTTCCTGGGCACCTGCATCACCGTGGGATTCACAGCACAATAGTAAGTGGCACTGTCTTCCAGACTCACTCGGGACACCACCAGGTGGAAAGTTTTCTGGGTCGGATTGTGCTTCACAAAAAATCGGCCTTGAGCAAAACCTGCATATTTAGATCTGGTGTTATCCTTATAAAGGATAAACTGAAAGGACCCCTCTGGCCTTTTTCGGTACCAGTACAAATCTGGATTTGAGAAGCTAACATCGTAAGTGCAGAGCAACATTAGCTCCCTGCCACTTAACACCGTCTGGTCTTCAGAATTCTGGGTCACCTGATTACACAGCATGCCTTTGTCTGAAAAGAGAAGAAATGAGAAAAATAGTGAATTCTGTACTCCCCACCACCAAGACCACTCAAAACCCCCAGCTCAGAGGAACCCAATGGGGAGAGACAAGAGAAAGACACAAATGAAGGGCAGAGGCAGAGAATGACTGCAAAACCAAGTTTTCAAGAGAAACAGACCAAGCCTTTGCAAGTCAGAGAAGGAGAAATGGGAGGCAGAACAAGACGACCACCAAAAAATGAAGCCACTTACAGAAAAACAAAAGGCTAAAGCCCACAATAAGAATCATCTTTTTTTCATGTCAGGGCAGAACATGTAGAGTAAAACAGGGTTCCTGAAATCTCTAAGGCCATCTTAAGGTTTTTGGCAGGAAGGGGCTGGGAAGCAGGCAGCCCTGAGGTCACATGACTCAATGATTCTGTAGCTCTGAGGCAGATGCCCCCACCAGGGGAACTGGCAGTTGATGATGTAGGTCCCCCTCCAAACTGAACCAATTTTTGACAACAAAAATGAGTTACTTTAAGATATGAAGGGAAAAGGAGAGAGAGAGAAAGGAAGAGAAAAAGAGGGAGGGAGGAAGGAGAAAGAGGAAAGAGAGAAACTGCAAATTCAGTGATCACATGCTTGGATATCCCATTGCTATAAAAGTAATTTATACTCCATTTCTGCATCTTYTGGTCACAGACTGGTACATCAGTCCACAAATCACACTTTGAGCAGCTCGTCTCACAGTACCTGGCACAGCAGTGAACACTTTGTAGAACTCAATAAATGAAGCCARTGAATGAGTGCCTTTGTAATACTCAGGAAATGGAATAAATAAATAATTCCCTGATTCCCTTGTGCAAAGAGGGAGAGAAGAGGATTGGACAAGATTGTTTCTAACATCTGTCCTAGCCTTGGAAAGCTTTGACTGGGGTGCCTGGAGTAGTGGCCTGATCCTGAGAGCCCTTGGCAGCTCACACTTGGCTCCAGCTRGAAAATTCTCCCCACAGCAGAGCTTCCTGGTGGGGGACCTGTCATAAGCAGGTTACAAGCTCAGAGTGGCTATGGGCCTGGAGTGGCTTGAGCCCCTGAGCTTGCCCCTTGTGGCCATATGCCACACAAATTATGGCTCAACATTTGGAAAGCACTGCTCTAGAAAAGAAAATCCTCACTCCCCAAAACCTAGGAGTATTCCTAGGAGTCTCTGTAAGAGTTCCTTTGTCTCCCTTTTTCCCCTATAGTCAACTCATCAGTAAGACTTTGCAGTCCTACCATAAAAATATCTCTCCAGGCAATCTGCTTCTCCCATCTCCACAGCCACCACCTCCCGCAACCATCATCATCTCTTATGGGGACTGTGATAACAACTCCCTAACTGGTTCCCTTATTTCTGCTCTTGTCCCTGGGTAATCCATTCTCCGAGTCTTTATAAATTGCAAACCCATGACGCCAGCTGGCGTTCTTTTCCTGGACCTCTACAACCTGCAAAGATCTAGCCCCTGCCTGCTCTCSAGCCTTGCCCACAGCTGCTCCTTGCTCTCACTCCCCTTCAGCCGTGGTGGCCTTCCTTCTGGTCCTCTTCGGGTTCACCTCTCTAGCTAAATCTCTGGTCCCAATTTTTCTCAAATATCAGCTCAAAGAGGCTCCACCAGTTGCTCAAGAAAATTAGCTGCCTGCCCCGCCATCATCACCCTCARTTACATCTCTGTTCATATTTTCCCACACATCCAAAATAATCAAATATTTATATATATTATTCTTTCCTTCTTCCATTACATTCACACCATAATATAAGCTTCATAAAGATAAAGACCTTGTTTAGGTTTTCACTGACATGTAGATAGCCTCAGCCCCCAGGCTTGTGTCTGCCACATAATAGACAGTCAATAAATATTTTTGCAATAAAGGAATACAACTTTATCCACTTAGAAACTCACCATAAGCACAGATAATGTTGCCAGATTTAGCAAATAAAATACAGGGCGCCCAGTTAAATGTGAACTTCAAATAAACAGAAAAAAAATTTTAGTAAAATTTAGAATGTGCTGTATTTGGGACACAGTTATGCTAAAAGAATATTAATTGTTTATCTGGAATTCAAGTTTCACTGGAAATCCTRTATTTTATCTAGTAACCTTATGCATGGAGAATTCCAAAGTAAATAGCAAATGARCCAAAGGACCATCCAAGGGGCCCCTGGATGTGGAAGAGGAAGGTTCACCTGAGCAGAGGCTGCTTGTGGCAGGGTCCCTTCCACAGAACTCAGTCACTGCAGGCAGAAGTCTGTTTCAGAACTTCCATCTCCCAAGCCCAAGGACTCTGCTCAGTCCCTWTCCACAGTCTTCCAGGCTCTGGAAGGAAACAGTTTTCAAGTGGAACTGTTACTCCTCTTCTAACTGCCCAACAACAGAGACATGGGCTTCATGGGCCTTCACATACAGAGGGGCACATCCTATCCCCTAATGCTTCATATGAAGTTTCAGACTCTGAGCCTTGCTTGGGGTAGCATAATCGAGATTTCCCTGCCCTGGTGTCCTTCCAACATTTTTTGAAAGGTGTTCCTTCAGCAAGGGCACTTTTAGGAAGGTCACACAGCATCGTGGCCAAGGGGGCTTCTGGAACCAACCTGGTTCATATCACATCCAACATCTACTAGCTTTGTGACCTTCAACATGACCTAACCCCCTATAAAATGGAGATAACAATAGCTTTTACCCTGGACTATTGGGAAATAAAATGAAAGAACACATGCAATGCASCCAGAAAATAAATTATTTTGAATCTTAGGTATTGCTGATGCTATTGTCATTTTATTAGACAGATAGATATAGTTTCTGAGCATTCTTCTCATCAAAGCTACTCACAGAAAAGCAACTGAATAAATCTAAAATATAAAGTTGTAAAATTTGGCAAAAGACATGCTATACCAATCAGTGGTAAAGAAAAAGAAAGAGAGACTTTGCATCTTCAGTTTGTTGTCAATACATAAGCACATTATCATGGAGTACTGTGCTCCCCAGACCCGAGCCAGATGTGCTCTTCCCAAATCCCAGGGAGCATTAAGAGCATAAGAAATGGGCCTTCAAGCCTATTGTTCTTAGGTCTTCCAAAAGTTGCAACTTTGGTATGACTGAGTGACCCCAAAATTCAAGGATGGAGAGATCCTCAAGATAAGGTAACCACTTTTACTTAGTGCCCTTCAATATCTCCACCCCTTCTCCCTTAATCATATTGATATCTGCAACCTGAAACACAGGTATCCTGCAGGCACCATGTCCCACTTGAAGCAAGACTGCCTTGTCTTRGCCCCAAATCACCACTTAAGGGGGGCTCTGAACCGGTGGGGCCAAAAGATGTGTCCCATAGTCTGGGTCTTGATCACTCTTGTCGCTCAAAAACGGCACTTTCCTTTCTCCCAGTGTCCTTTGGGGTAGGCCCCTTCGTTTCTTACCTTGCAGCGCCCTCTGCTGCTCTGATCATCCCATGTCCCTCACAGGTCATGCTGGAGGTTGACAGAAAGTAGGTCAGGGAAGGAAAACATTCTTTGTTCACAACTTAAATAAAAAATGCTCCTCTTTTCTCCATTCCCCATTCAACCCTGAGACTGGCAGCTGCTTCTCTGTTGGCCCAAAGGGTCCATTCCCCACCAGACACCCAAAGAGAATTGTCTTCAAGGATATGAGATCACACCCTAAGAGGATAGATGGATGGATGTTTTCATCTACAAAAAGCCCCAAGCAACATTTGATGACATGGGGAAATTTATTTGGATGAATATAGATGAATGGATCCCTTGTGAAAGAACAGAAACATGATTWAAAAGGAAAAGCTTAGAAACAATTGAAAAATGTGTGATAAGGGGGTGAATCGTCCAGAGAAATTTCTACACCCCGTCTTCCTGCTCCACAGTCTGTTCCAAGATCCTGGGGGCAGAAATGGTCTTCTTCACCTTGGTGGGAAGCACACCAGGGAAGGACCAGGGCCAGCAGATATCTTCCACTGCCCAGGCCGGGACAGCACAGGGATTTTCAGGGCCTCCAATTCAGGGAAACATCTTGCTACATCTGGACAAGAAGGAGAGTGAAGAACACTACCATGGTATTGTGACCAGTGCCCTCTACAGAGCCGTCATTTGAAGACCTGTGAGGAGGAAGGAACCCTCCAAGGTGTTACTGCTGCTACCTCTGGAGCAGCCGGTGGAAAGAACAGTGTGGGCCCACCAAAAGGTCAGTGATACTTTTTATTATGGGGCTGTGTAGACCTAGCCTGGATCCTGTCAACCCTATTTCTCAATTCTATAGAGTCTTTTCTCCAGTTTTTCTCCTGGGCAGGGAAGGCAAATAGGTTATATCTCAATTACAAGAAGTGACAATTGGTAGCGTCTCTCTGGAGCACACTGTTAAGGATTCTGAGGAAAAGCAATGTGTCTCTTAGTCCACTGTGAGAATGGGAACAAGAGGCAGCACCACTCCGTTTTGTATGTACCATCCCTGCTCTTGATGTCAGTCCCTGTAATGATGCCTGCAGAGAGAATAATCAGAGCCAACTCTCTGTTGGATTATCCTTTTGGTAGAGAGAAAATTTTTCAATCTCTATCTTTTCCTTGGCTTCCCTGGGTTCTCATGGGCCATTTCCCTTGCTATCAATTGCTGTTGCCTGCAGCCTCAGAAATGAAATTTTTTTAAATGAATGAGAAAGTTCTATCTTACTCTAAAATCATAACTATGTGCCACATCCTCTTTTGAATGACTTATCTACTATTCAACAAGGAAAATCACACCCTAGTTCATCCCATCATGCCCCTAGGGACAGAGACCACTTGGGGAAGATCCTTTTTTCTCCTGAGGCACATAAAAGAAACAGCAGAAGGCAGGTCTAGGAATCCAGKGTCCTGAATTCTTGCCCCAGCTCTGCCTCTACCTATCTACATGACCTTGAACAAATTTACTTCCCAGGGCTTCAACATCTTTATCTTTGAAATGAGAGAAGCAGTTCCCTTCCAAGTYGTATCCTCCAGCATGCTAATATATAAAATGACAAAGCTGACCTGAGAGTTATTAGTTTATATCTTCCTGTGCATGTTGTTTGAACTCCACATTGCCCAGCAAGAGAAAAGGCAAAATATGCCCCTTCATTGGAGGGTAGCATTGTTTCTGGGTTCAATATGTGTGACTCATCAGAGCCTGGAGGGCCAGGCCCAGATGCCAACTTGGAATCCAGTTATTATTGCATCTGGGTGAGATCAAGTGCTGAAAACAACCTTTGGAAAAATCATCAATTTTACAAAAAAAAAAAAAAAACAAC